CAGGGGTGCCACTCAGTGGCAGAGAAATTGCCTGGCATGTACAGAGCCCCTGTTTCGGACACCCCCTGCACTGAATCTGTGTTGTACACCCCCTGCACTGAAAAAAATAAGAGAGGAGAGAGAGAGAGAGAGAGAGAGAGAGAGAGAGAGAGAGAGAGAATTTCAGGAGCAAGAGGAGGTAGACATGAAGATAATGTAATCAATAATCTATAATAATCTAATAATCAATAATACTATATTCTTAGTATTTCTTATGTGTTTCCAATTAATAAAGGCTAGTATTTATTTATAATAACCATGAGAAAAGCTGAAGGAAGTGATGATGGGTGGTTTAACATATACAAGGATCTGGGTTTGAAACCCCGAGCACCAATTTTTTTTTCCATTTAAAAAAAGATTTTATTTTTATTTCATGAGTATGAGTGTTTTGCCTGCATGTATATAAACATGTGTGCCTGGTGTCCACAGAGGCCAGAAGAGGGTGTCAGATTCAGTGGAATTGGAATTAAGATCCCGGGTTAGCAGCCGTGTGAGTGCTGGGAACAGAACCTAGGTCGTCTTCTGAAGAGCAGTAAGTGCTCTAAGCTGCTGAGGCATTTCTCCAACACCTGTAGCCATTTTTTCCCACATGATTAGAAGAAGCATTTCATTACATCTTTAACATATTCAGTAACAATTTCCAGAGCAAGGACACATCTCTTTCAAAAGTGTCTGTAAACTTTTAGGTTCACAGTTGAATTATTACAGTTATACAATATTGAACTCAGTATAAACCCTGTAAGACATAAAATTGAATGAGTTTTTAACCTTTAAAGAAGATCTCCATTTCATTTTAAAATATGCCATTTCCTACATTTTTAATGCTACTAATGCTTAGATGTTTGCACATGTGTCTTTAATCTCTATGTATCTGATGATTACTAGTCACAGTTGGTGACACTTGGATCCTTAGCACCTGAGTATGGATATAAAGTCGTCAGGTAGATTTCAGTGGTAATGTTTATCACCTCTACCAAGTTTATTTTTTAAACTGATGAGGACAAAACTCTTAGCTTCTGGGACAAGTAAGAGATAAAATATATGTTGATGTGTCGCTGCTTGAAGTTTATTCTATCTATCTATCTATCTATCTATCTATCTATCTACCTACCTCTATGTTTTGGTCATTTAAAAAATCTAAACAAATATGAATGAAGATGTGAACAGATCAGTATGTAGAAATGAAAAATAGACATGAAGTACCTGGTAGATAATACATATTGAATAAACTACAACTTTTATGATGGTTATTACAGATTTTAAAGATTTATTTATGTTTCTGTGTATGAATGCATGTATATAAATGCACCACATGTGTGCAATGTCTGTGGAGGCCAGAAGAGGGCATCAGATCTCCTGGAACTGGAGTTACAGATGGTTGTTAGCTGCCATCTGGGTTCTGGGAGTTGAATCAAGCTCCTCTGCAAGAGCAGCCAGTGCTCTTAACCACTGAGCCATCTCTTTAGTCCCTCATAGTACAGACTTTGTGTGTATGGAAGCTGTTACTGGTAGGATTTTGTCTGCCCCTCTCTGCCTGGCCCTTTATATTCCTTTAAATGTATGGAAAGTTGGCTCAAACCCATTTGATGGTTTATCATATCCTAAGGTGTAACCACAGCTCCTGCAGTGTTTGCCTGTGGTGGTTGCTGGGCTCTGTCTTTCAAGTCAGTTTGTTGTTGTTTGTTTGATTTTGTTTTTTGTTTTGGTTTGGTTTTGAGATGGTCTGGTGTATTTCAGGCTGATCGCAAACTTGCTATCCACAGTGACCTTGAACTTCTGTTCTTTCACCTCTACTTCCTCAGTTTTGGGCACTCTTACTGGTGGACAGGGTCTGGACCAGCTGTTTCCACATTCTTAGACTCCGATTCAAAAAATTGAGATGAAAGCCCACAGATGATAAAGTATCAAGGAAACTTTATATAAAGCAATAAGATTAGAAATAAAAACACTGTCAAGATTGACAGCAGGCCACATGAATGAGGGTACTCAAGGGCAAGAATTACTATTTGGGGCTTCCTTTTATGGGGATCAAAAGAGGGAGGAGTTTGGTTGTTAAAGGGTACAATTTGGATGGTTATTTTGATTGACAGGATAAGTTATACAACCATTTTCTCTACAGTACATGTCCCTTCCCATAATACATCTGATTTCAGTTATATGCACACCCATTTATGCATAGTATAAGATGGTAAATAGAGGATTCTCCCTAAAAGGTCACTTTGAGGCCACAGTTTGCCTTATTGTACATACACCCAAAACTAATTCAGGCCAGATTAGCTTCCTACCTTCTGCACATGGACACTAACTATACTATAGTTAAAAAGGATCTACCTGTCTGGTGGTTGTTAAAGAGAGGGGAAACATTCCATTGTTCAGAGAGGGGTGTGTGCAGCTCAGTGCAGGCCAAGGTTGGGGAGCATCCAAGATTGCTAACAGGTTGCTACTGCATTGTTCAGAGTGGGTGTGCATCCCTAGTACATGCAGGTAAAGGTCTCAGACTGTCAAGTACATTGCTAGACAAGGGGTGTGCGTGGCCCAAGCCAAGTAGAGTCCAATGTTTGCCTGCCTCACCACCATGCCAGGTTTGTGTACCTGGGATTGAACTCAGGGGCTTATGCATGCCAGACCAGTACTCTACCCACTGGGCTACAGCTCCAGCCCTGAATTAAGTCAGTTTCTGAATCTCATCACTGCTACACCAACCTTCCTTTGCTTCATTATTGTAGTAGTCTTACTTTTCAGCATTATCGCCAAGAAAATAATTGAAGGGAATAATTTTGCCCATTGTTTCAGAGGTGTTGGTCCATCATGCCAGGGGTGACATGATGGAGCAGTTCATATCATGGTGGACTGGGAGTGAGGGGAGAGAGAGAGAGAGAGAGAGAGAGAGAGAGAGAGAGAGAGAGAGAGAGAGAGAGCTCCCTTTCCCACTTCCCCCTTTTAGTCTATCAATGCCCCAGAGCCTATAGGATGGTGCCACACAGTTATTCAGGACAAGTCCTCCTGCTTAGTTAGTCCTCTAGAAAGGCCCTCTTAACTACACTTAGAGCTGTGTTTTAATAATCTCATAGGCAGGCTTGGGGAGACTGTTAAGTGGGTATTACTTTCCACACATGCATGAGGACCTGAGTTTGGATCCCCAGCACCCATGTACACAGTGTACACCTATAATCACAAAACTAGGAGATGAACAAAGGAAGATCCCAAGGGTTTGGTGGCCAGGCACTTCTAAATACAGTCAAGTGGACAGTCATGATCAACCTCAAGGGCTGGTGAGATGGTTCAATTGAGCAAACGTGCCCACCGCCAAGTCTGATGACCTGAGTTTGATCCCTGGAACTCATATGGCAGAAGGAGAGACCGGACCCCCACGTTGTCCTCTGACTTCCATGCATACACTGTGGCATATCTGTGCCTCCACACATATACACAAAATTTTTTTAAAGTTAAAAATAAATTTAAAATATATTAACCACCAAAATCCAGCACTGAATTCAATATGATTCTGCAGTTTTTGTGACAGCATCCACCCCTCCAGCATATGCAAGTCTGAGGAGGCTGAAAGAAGTTAAGTGACAGACTTGATGTTATCAAGATGCTGTTTCAACTTGAGCATTGACTTGAGCCTGGGTATTGCCCCTTGTCCTTACGCCACACACTAGCACCTCCTACGTTGTGGGTTTGGCCTAGCCATTCCCCATCATCACTTCAGCTCTTGCTTTTGGTTGCCTCGTGGAGCTCTTTTCCTGCAGAACTGCTCAGCTCTCTCTAAGCCCCACTCTAAGACCTGGCTACAGACCTACCTTGTTATAGTCAACCCTCCCAAGAAGTGCAACAGGCCATAAGGGGTTGAGGGGTCACAGAATCTACTTACAAAACGTAGTGGCAGTATTAACGATTTTTCTGTTTATTGCATAAAAATATAAGGCTCATTAATTAAGATTTGTGTGTGCACGTGTGTTTCTGCGGGAACCTCACGTGAACCAGGTAAGCATTTCATCACTGAGCTGTACCTCCAGCCCAGCCAAAGATTTTCAAATCCAGCATATGTTTTGTGTTTGTGTATATGAAGGGGGGGTGCATGTGTACATGCATGTGAAGGTGCATTGAGATCCTCAGGTACCACCCGCTTTGCTTCTCTTTTCTTCTCTTCTCCCCTTCACTGCCCTGCCCTCTGCTCCCCCCTCCTCTTCTCTCCTTTTTTTTTTTTGGACAGGGCCTCTCCCTAGTATGGCTAATAAGTCCCAAGGATCTGCCTGTCTGGATTATAATCCACATATCAGCCTGGCTTTTTCTACCATGGGCTCTGCAGATGGAACTCGGGTCCTGGTGCTTTACCAACTGAACTATGCCCCAGCCCTCCCATATTCAATAAATTTTCTCTCACTTCTAAACTATCTGCTGTCTCTTCCACAAGAAAGGTGTAGTAATGAAAATTCTTCATAATTATCATTTGCAAGGAAGTTTTTTAAGCTTCTGACTTCATTGGAAAATAACTACCTTCTTCATTTTCTAAAAAGCATAATTATAAACTTTAGTCTATCACTATAGCAAAATGAAATTTCAAAAATCATAGTGGGAAATTTGTTTTTTATTATTTTATTTATTTATTTTTTATTTTACGTGCATGAGTATATTGCCTGCATGTATGTAAGTACACCCATGTCAGACGAAGCCTGCAGAGGCCAGAAGAGGGTGTTGGATCCCCTGGAACTGGAATTATGGAGAGTCATTAGCTGCCACGTGGGTGCTGGTAATCAAATCCGGGTCCTCTGAAAGAACAGCAAGGTTCTTAACCACTGAGCCATGTCTCCAACACCCAGGAAAATTGTTCCTAATGGGCTGTCGTTGCCCATTTGCAAATGCACCCTGTGCATTTTATGAGTTAGATAAGGCTGCTAGCAAGTCTTAATTTCCTTTTTTTGAAATTTTGTCTTTACCTTGGTTTATTCTCTTATCAGGTAACGTTTACATTGCCTGAAATGATACCTGAAGAGCCAGCGGAGAAAGTAAAGCAATTTACGGTATGATAATGACAAACAGTAACCATTAGTTAGTAGCCATTACTAACCTCATGTTATCACATATGTATTCTAGCTATTAGGAAGCAACACATTTGATCATATATGGGAACTAGATGTATGGGGAATTAAATCCTCCTGTAGGAATTTTCAAATAAATCTCAGTGTTCTTTCAAGTTTCTTTTGATAGCAGTCAGAACTTGCTTACTATCTGACAGAAGTAGCCTTTTTTGATTCAGGTAAAAATGGATATGACTTATTTTTCTGGGATGTTTTCTGTTTAAAGGATGAAGAGAAAAGTCTTTTGGAGCATCAAGTGGAGACACTCAAGACCACCTTAGAAAACCAGAAAAGGAAGATGGACAGGTACCAGTCTTAATGAGTCACTGTTGTCCACCTGCAGCCATGACACTATTTAACCATCTGCCGATCTTATTACAGATTTAGGAAGGAAGCAGACCAGATAAACAAAAACTGGGAGAGGAAATTCCATATTCTTAGGAACAGGTAACATATGATGATTACGTGCAAATTCTATTCTATTCACAGCTGCTCATCTTTTGAGGAAATTGGCAGCCTTGTGTTTTTTCTTTATATATTGTTAAGTGTCCCCATATATTTTTAACAAGACATGCAACATAATTGGTCTAAAACAGAGACATAATTAAAGTCACATAAAAGAAAAAGGAATTCGAGACTCTCTCTAGCTCAGTATTCAACATTACGTGCAAATTCTATTCTATTCACAGCTGCTCATCTTTTGAGGAAATTGGCAGCCTTGTGTTTTTTCTTTATATATTGTTAAGTGTCCCCATATATTTTTAACAAGACATGCAACATAATTGGTCTAAAACAGAGACATAATTAAAGTCACATAAAAGAAAAAGGAATTCGAGACTCTCTCTAGCTCAGTATTCAACCTTGAATGCTCAACAAGTCAGACATATATTCTCTCTCTGTCTCTGCCTCTCTCTCTCTCTCTCTCTCTCTCTCTCTCCCTCTCCCTCTCCCTCTCCCTCTCCCTCTCCCCACCAGATTGGGAAGCACAAGCCACCTCCTTGAGGGAAGAAAACTTTGATTTGTGCTCCATATTGTTAAGTGTCCCCATATATTTTTAACAAGACATGCAACATAATTGGTCTAAAACAGAGACATAATTAAAGTCACATAAAAGAAAAAGGAATTCGAGACTCTCTCTAGCTCAGTATTCAACCTTGAATGCTCAACAAGTCAGACATATATTCTCTCTCTGTCTCTGCCTCTCCCTCTCCCTCTCCCTCTCCCTCTCCCTCTCCCCACCAGATTGGGAAGCACAAGCCACCTCCTTGAGGGAAGAAAACTTTGATTTGTGCTCCATGGGTTGGTTTCCATGGGTCTCACAATGATTATTTTGTCTGTGAAATGTGCAAATTTATTTTGGCTGTTTGGGACAGAGTCCCCACTCTGTTGCCCAGGCAGGCCTTGGACTCACAGTAGCTCTCCTGCCTCAACGTCCTGAGTGCTGAGATTACAGCTGTGCACCACCATACTCAGCTTGAAATGTACGTTTCAATACCTCACCTAACTCCTTCACATAGTTACAAGAAGACAGTGCAGACACAAGCAATGGGAAAGGAGATTTGAATATACACTTCCTTGTATTTCTCCACACATGGATTTAAACCATCTCTGGAGTAGAAGAGAATGTCTCTCCTTGCTTAGTGTAAGGGATCTGTTTTCAGTTACTTCCCTCTGTTCCTGTGGGCTTCACCCATTTTTCAGTGGCCAATTACAAGAGTATTCCGTTTCACTTCAAACTGACTTGATTTTAACATAGATGGTGACAGCAGTATTCATTGCTCTGGCAGGTAAATACACTGATACCTGACAGTCTAAGCAGAAAGAATTAATGTCAACTTCCTGTATGTTTTCTCAATGAACTAACTTAGGACATCATGATGTCTGAGTCAGTAGTTAGCTGCAACTCTAGGTTTTAATTCAGTTGCTTATGTGATAACAGAGTGGATGCATTCTCAGTGATCACAGAGCAATGAGAGGTTGGTTATACATCTGACTGTGCATCTGTTGGCCTGGGAACTTGTTTGCATTGGAAGCAACCCTAGAACTTAAGCACTCATTTTTGTTTAATAGAGGAGCAACTTCGGCTTAGCCAACCAAGAAAATACTACAAATGATTTCTTAGTTCATGTTCAGCTTCCTCTCCAAGCTCCCTTCTCATCTCTGTTGAGCTGGCTCAACTCCCAGGAAGACTGAGCATCAGTGGTACTGATCAGGACACAGGCTAGTCTTCCCACTTAGTGTCCCATGCATGATACATGTCATCATAGTCATTGGTTTGGGCCCAATGGGGTTCAGGTGTGGCACTTTGCCCAGGAACGTATCTCTACCTTACTGGTACCAGAGATATGCAGTGGCTCCCACTTATACTCCAGCAGGTGGTCTACATGCATCCTTTGGAGCCCCTTGTAGGGCTCTGAGGTTTGCTGGTCTCACTCTGACCCATCACACTTCCCAGACTCTTAAAGTTATATGTGATTCCCATGCCACCGTGGAATTCCCAGACTGAAGATGGATATGCGCAGCCCCCTGCCCTCTCCTCCTCCTACCATCCTGGGTGGGTGGCCAACAGGATGCAAGCTTCAGGCTGTGCTAGGTGTAAACCCATTTTGATCACTTACTTCTTCCTCTCCTCTCCCCTTGGAAGCTCTTACACAATGCTTCATTGTTAGATTTAGGAGGTGGGAGGTTTAGGTAAACAGAGCACTACCCTAACCCCCACTTCACTCCCGAGCTTCCTTCTCTTTGTTTCTGGCTTTGTCCTGTGTCAGAGGAGTGGGAGCAGCTTTCCAGGTCCTGTGGTGATAGCAGTAGAGAAAAAACCCACAACATTTGATTATTTTTCTGATGCAAAACCATCATATATCTCATTTGCATAAGTATGCTCATAAAACATTAATTTTCATCTTATATGAAATTCAAGTTTCATAAGATGTACAGAAGTCAAGCCAGAATAGCTCCAGGCTATTGCAAAATGGTGCTTTTCTGATGTCTTCCCTCCCTCTTACCCTAGCTGTCTGAATTCTTCTCAGAGACTGAATCCTGCTGTTGAGGAGGGGTGTACTGGTGATTTAAGTGTTGAGTGTTCTGATGGTGAGCCTCCAAAGCCCTATGCTTCTACCGATGGGAAATCCATGTGCTCTTTAAAGGAATTTTCTTAGTGTTCATGAGCAACACTGAACTGAGATTTTCTGTTCTCAGCTTGACTCTGTGGTATTAGTTGTAGAATTCTCAGAGATTTGGGAGGTACATGAGTAAAACTCATTTTTCAATTAACTGGGCCACAGTTTGTCTTGAGCAGATTTCATTCAGGCTGTTGATTCTTTTTGTGTATTTGCGGTGCTGGGGCTCTACCACTGTCATTATTTTTATTTAATTGTTTTTAAAGATTTTAAAAGCTAGTCTTGTTTTCTATTTCTTCTTAATTTCATTTCATAGTCACAACATTCTATGAAATTCTTTGACTCCTGTAATTTTTCCTAATTGTTATAAAATTATTCTTAAGCCTGGGAGGTGGTTTCCTATTGTAACAAATTGCCAAGACTCAGTGATATAAAACAACCAAATTTATTATCTAGAGTTTCCAAAATGATTCCTGCAAGGTTAAGTCAGTGGTGTTAGTCCATCTGGTTCCTTCAGGAGACCCAGAAATAATCAGTTCTTCGCCCTGGTCCCACTTTGCCACCCCATCATGCTGCCTTCTACTTTACCTACCGAAAGACCCTGGTAATTGGGTCAGACATGGTGGTGCACATCTTAGTCCTAGCACTGGGGAGGCATGGGGAGGCAGAGACAGACAGATCTCTGTGAGTATGAGGCCAGCCAGGAATATAGAGTGAGACCCTGTCAAAACAAAACAAAACAACAGAACAGAACAGAACAGAACAGAACAGAAAACCCAAAAAGACCTGGTAATTACATTGGGCTCACAAGGTCAACCAGTTGTCTCTCCATCTCAAAGCTCTTAATTCATTCACTTTTTACTATATGATGTACTTACAGGCTCCATGGATTAAAAAGTGTATATTTTAGGGCCTGGGGAGGTTGCTCAGTGTAGAAAGCACTTGCCTTGCAAGCATAAGGACCAAAGTACGGATCTGCAGAACCTATGTAAAAGCCCAGCAAGCATGGTGGCCACCTGTAATCCCAGCACTCAAAAGGCAGACATAGTGGCTTCCTGAGGCAGGCTGACTAGCTAGACTAACTGGAATTGGTGAGCTCTGGGTTCAACAAGAGACCTTGTCTTAATAAATAAAGTGAGGGGCTGGCAAGATGGCTCAGCAGATAAAGGGACTTGCCACCAAACTTGATGACCTGAGTTCAATCCCCAGAACACACATAGTAGAAAGAAAGAAATGACTCCTACAAGTTGTCCTCTGACCTCCACACACCCACTCTGGTTCATGTGTGCACACGTACACACAGAGTAAAAAAGAAAAATAAAAAAGAACAGTTGAAAAATGTGGAGATGCTTAAGAGTGCTGTGATGAAATGGAGGAGGCAGCACGTAGGTACCAGGATGGGGAGGGGAAGCATAGCATGTCCACACATGCACATATAACATGCATGTACAAAAAAGGGAGGGGGAGAAGTAGACATGTTGACGGAGGAAAATAGTCAATCTACCTTGGTCAGTCTTTTGGCCCTTCAATATTTATGCCTCTCCCAGACAAGCTGCTATCCCAGTGTACTCCGTGTCTGCTCCCATTCCAACTCAAGTCTAAACCCTTTTTGTAAGAATCATGAACTCAAATTCCCAATTCTCCTCATCTAAATTTGGTTTCAAGGAGGCTATAAATCTGCTATCTATGGACTCCTGAAGCCATAGAACAGCTTGTTCCCACATACAAAGTGCGACGGGCATTATATTGACATAGCAGTCAGTAGCGGTTATAGATATTCATGGTCAAAAAGGGAAGACATAGACGGAATAAAGGAGATTTTAATTCAAACTATCTTTAAATCCAGCACGACAAGCTCCACTGGTTTTCAAGGCCTAAGAATAATTCCTTGTGGCTCAAGATCCACACTCTGTACCCAAAGCACCACCCGAGTCACCCTTCCTTGTTTGTGAAGAGAGCAGTTTGCAGCTGGGTGGTTGGCGTCCCGCTTAAGAATTTTGAAGCTCTGGCAGATTTTTTTTCCCCATTCTCTTGTTTTCAGGTCAAACTGGCAGTGATATTCTGAAGAACTGTATGCATCTTCCATGTATAGCATGCAGAGTCCCTCCATTGAACAGGAGGCGCCTCACATCCTCCTAGATAATCCTCTATTAGGAGTCCTCCTGAGCTGACTGAGGAGTTGCAAACATTCTCTCTTCAAAGAGCTTTGCTGTGATTCCAATGCTGGGGCTGGAACCCAGGGCCTTGCTCGTGCTAGGCACGTGCTCTACCACGGAGCTATACACCACACATCCAAACCTTCTTTGTTCCCTTATAAGCTCTAATAAA